GGTGCTGCCCTATAGCAGTATTTTGTCTTGTACCAGTGTCAGTGTAAACATGGGTAGTGCAGTGTGCTACAGTGTTATGTGAGCTCCCCATCTTCTGTAAACAAAAGCAGTTTGCGGGGGTCTGTTACAATCTTATGGGACTAGTGTCATAGAGTAGTATGTGTGGTCTTTCGTTAAACGTGAACTCTTTATTTGGGTATGTGGCTGTATTTCTTTAGATTTTGACAAGTAGTCACGACTCCCACCACCTTAGTCATGAGACAGGATACCTCCATCATTCTACAGGCTGTGATTGGGAAGGAAATATTAAAAGTTGTTCGATACTTAAAATCCATATGAAAATTATTGTGTAGATTTTATTGATACTCTAGTTTCGTTTGAATAATCAGATTAGGAGAGAAACTTATTCGAAAAATCAAGCAATTCTGCTGTTTGACCAGGTTACTCTCATTTCCTCTCTTCTATCTGTTTCCTTCAGTTCATCTTTTTTCCTTGTTCGTGTGAGTGCAGAGCACTTTGACAAGTGCTTTCATCCTAACTCAGGATAAGATGCTGCCTTCCCTTCTTTCCTCTTTGTGTATACAGATCCTGTTTCTCTGATGGCTTCACAGGGAGTCACCGTCCCTTTCCCATTTAAGAGGGAAGGGGAAAGAGATTATTTCTCCTCAAATTCTAGAGTAGAAGTTGCTCAAATGGCACAATTCAAGCCCCTTCCCTTTCTCTCTCTCAACCATTGGTTTTGAAAGGGCATTTCTTTTTCTTGTAGGAGTATAAACTTGTAGAATTCTCTTGGACTTTTTCAGGTAAAATGATTTAAATATAAGATTACTCTGTACAGACTAGAATGCTCACTTCTGCCACCTTCCCAGGAACTGGATATTACTGGTATGTAAGGTGGCTCCATCTGTGTTGTCTTCTAGTTGCTAAGCCTTCCATTTACATACTATCCTGACTTTTACCATAAGAAATTAATTTTTCCTGTTTTTGATCTTAATATAAGTAGACTCACACAACACTCTTTGTGCATAGTTTTATGTTTGTAAGGGTAGTATGGGATTGCAGTCCCCTCCCCCGTGGTGCTTGGAGCACAGCAGATATTATTTTGTCTTACTAATATTTGTCTTACTTTTGTTTTCCTTTTCCTTTAGATAGAGAGAGCATGGTTTACTTGTTTTTTTTTTTTTTTTTAATTGGGGATTCATTGAAGGCACAAGAAACGAGGTTACACTGATTGCATTTGTTAGGTAAAGTCCCTCTTACAATCGTGTCTTGCCCCCAATAGGTGTGGCATACACCAAGACCCCACCCCCTCCCTCCTTCCCTCTCTCTGCTCTTCCTTTCCCCCCCTCTCTTTTTCTTTCTTTCTCTGCTTTCCCCTTCCCCTACCCCCACCGTGTTATTAATTGTCATTAATTGTCCTCATATCAAAATTGACTACATAGGATTCATGCTTCTCCATTGTGGTCTGAGAACATGCAAGGTAAAAATTCAATTTTTTTGATTCTGTTGAGGTTTGTTTTGTGTCTTAGGATATGATCAATTTTGGAGACTATTCCATGGGGCAATGAGAAGAATGTATATTCTTTATCTTTGGGATGAAATGTTCTATATGTGTCTACGAAGCACAGTTGTTCTAGGGTCTCATTTACTTCCCTTATACCTTTGTTTAATTTCTGTTTAGAGGATCTGTCCAGCTCTATAAGAGGAGTGTTAAAGTTCCCTATTATTATGGTGGTATAGGATATCATATTGCTTAGACTGAGTAAGGTCTGGTTCAAGAATCTGGGAGCAATTAAGTTGGGTGCATAAATATTTAGAATTGAAATGTCTTGTATTTTTCCCTGGACCTATATAAAGTGACCATCTTTGTCTTTTTTTGACTTGAGTTGATTTAAATCCACGTACGATTGCAACTCCTCTTTTCTTCTGAATTCCATTTGCTTGAAAAATTGTCTTTCAGCCCTTAACTTGGAGTTTTAATTTGTCTTTTGAAGCTAGGTGTGTTTCCTGCAGACAGCAAGTGGATGGCTTGTGTTTTGTAATCCAGTCAGCAAATTCTTCAGTGGGGAATTAAAGCCATTAACATTTACTGAGATAATTGATTCATTTTATTTTGTGAGAGTCAGTTGCTTAGTTTTATCTTTTGCATCATTGTGGAGGTTAGGTTCTGTCCTTTAATTTCTGAGTTCTTACTTTGCTGTTGATCCATTGTGATGGCCAGTGTGTAGAACAGGCTGACGTATTTCCTGTAGCGCTGGTCTTGTTGTGGCAAATTTCCTCAGTGTTTGTATATCAGTAAATTATTTGATTTCTCTGTCAGTTTTAAAGCTTAGCAGGATATAGAATTCTGGGCTGGAAATTCTTCTTCTCTTTTTAGTAGATTAAAGGTAGATGACCATTGTCTTCTTGCTTAGAAAGTTTCGCTGGAGAAATCTGCAGTCACCCTGAGGGATTTGCCCCTGTAGGTCAACTGGTGTTTACTTCTGGCAGCTTGCAGAATCTTTTCTTTTGTCTTGACTTTGGAAAGATTCATCACAATGTGTCTTGGAGAAGCTCTGTTAGAGTTGAGGTGACCTGGGGTCTGATATCCCTCTGAAAGGAGTGTGTCAGAATCTTTGGTGATATTTGGGAAATTTTCATTTATAATATTCTCTAGTATGGCTTCCATTCCTTTGGGGCATTCATCTTCCCCTTCTGGGATACCTATAACTCATATATTTGAATGCTTCATAAAGTCCCATAATTCTGTCAGTGAATGTTTTGCTTTCTCTCTCTTCTTTTCTGCCTCTTTAACTATCTGAGTTATCTCAAGAGCTTTGTCCTCTACCTCTGAGATTCATTCTTCTGCATGGTCTAATCTGTTGTTGATACTTTCTATTGCATCTTTAAGTTCCCTAATTGACTGCTTCAGCTTCTTCAGCTCTGCTATATCCTTTCTATATTCTTCATGTCATTCGTCTCTTATTGTTTCTGTTTTTGGATTTCCTTTTGGTTATTTTCCACTTTATCAGCAGTTTCCTTCATTGTTTCCATCATTTCCTTCATTATTTTCATCATCTGTGTTCTAAATTCCCTTCTTTCATTTCTAACATTTCTTTATAGGTGGAATGCTCTGTAGTAGCTAGCTACCTCATGGTACCTTGGGGGGTTGCTCTGGGCTGGTTTTTCATGTTACCAGGATTTTTCTGCTGATTCGTCCTTATGGGTGTTTTCTTTTTGTCTAATTTTCCTTTTACTTCCTCTTGCTCTCTAAGATACCATGCCTCTGGACTAGGGTTTCAATGAGTCCTTTTGGGTACAGGACCAGAAGGATGAGGAGATTGAAGAGCAAGAAGGGAAAAAAGAAAAAAAAAAGTAAAGAAAAAAAGGAAAGGAGAAGGGGGTGCGTAAAAGGGAATGTTGACAAAAAGAAGAGAGGCACAGAAAGAGAGAGACAAGAGCACCTTAAAAACCCCCAACCTCCACCAGGTTGGGTGGTTCCCTTGAGGTCAACAGCTCTTTGCTAGTCTGTTTGGACACAGTACCCCACCTCCACCAAGTAGAGAGAAAAGACAAAAATGCTATAAATCAAATTGAAAGAAGCAAACAGAAAACATTACAGGATAAAATTGGGGGGGAAACCAAACAATAGGGATAGAAACACTAGCAAAAATGAAGTTCTACTTGTTAAAGAAGGCAACAATGGAAAATTATATTTAAACAATAAAAATGGAAAAAGAAAAGAAAGAAAAAAAGAGAAAAATCTAGAGGAAAAATGTTAAAATTAAAACAAAAACCATAACAAAGCAGTATATATATATCACAATGCTGATACAGCTGTACGATATGGAGACTGGAGGCCACTCTGATTTCTCAAACCCCACAGGGTGGAGAGCCTAAATCTCTCCTCAGCCCACTTACAAGGCACTTTATACTGCTAACCTCAGCTAAGCAGAAGGTTTTTCAGGAAAGTCCTTGTTGTTGGGATCACTCCTAAAGTGGCTGTCCATTTACCCAGTGTGCCAGAATAGGTCTCACTCTATGCCCCTGAGGGCCAAGGCTGTAAGGTGTCTCAGGTGCAACCTAGGCTGCTCAGTCACTAGATTACTCTCCCAAGGTCTCCCACCAGATCCTTGCTCTGTGACCCTGAAGGCAGAGCTTGCTGGAGCAGTTCTCCCACAGTGGCTCTGCACCACCCACAGCCAAACACTGTTAGCTCCTTGCATCTCAGTACCTCAGTCTGGGGCCCTGGACAACGCTTAAAGTCCTGTGCATTCATTGGCATTCTAAGATTGCTGACTTCTGTAGCAGCTGATCTGGGATAGGAAAGGCCACCAGAAAACCCAGGGAATTCATCTCCATGTCGACCTTTATGTGTGGAGGTCCCTAGCCAGAATGCCATCTCTCTAACTTTTGATCTTCTTAAATTTGTTTTTTCTTACATAGTGAACATTTTTTAGCTGTATTTAATTGGAATATTGGGAAAATGTACGTCTGTTTGATCTTTCTAGAAGGAGAAATCTGATTGTTTTAATATCTTCTTTATAATCCTGAAATCATTCAAAAAAATAAAATGAAATATTTTATGCATTTATAGTTAGTAAGATGAATATAGTCACCCAAACAAAGTATTTCAACAAAAATTGATTGGGGTAAAATACAATCTCATGTAGTTCTGTTTGTATGAAATCTAAAATTTTGGCTCAGTACCTATAGCTCAAGTGGCTAAGGTGCCAGCCACATACATCAGAGCTGGTGGGTTTGAATCCATACTGGGCTTGCCAAACAATGACAGCTACAACCAAAAAATAGCCGGGTGTTATGGCGGGCACCTGTAGTCCTTGTTAATTGGGAAGCTGAGGCAAGAGAATCCCTTAAGCCCAGGAGTTGGAGGTTGCGGTGAGCTGTGACGCCATGGCACTGCCTAGGGCGATAGCTTGAGGCTCTGTCTCAAATAAATAAATAAATAAAATAAATGATTTTAACCCTGTGTAAATTTTAATTTCTATGTTTAATTGCAGAATCTTTTAGCTGAAAAAGTAGAACAGTTGATGGAATGGAGTTCCAGACGCTCAATCTTCCGAATGAATGGTGATAAATTCCGAAAATTTATAAAGGCACCACCTCGAAACTATTCTATGATTGTTATGTTCACTGCTCTTCAGCCTCAGCGGCAGTGTTCTGTGTGCAGGTAACTTATATAATTCTAAAATTGAAAAACCATAACCCAGGCTTATATATTAATTTTATTATATTTATTTAAAATAAAAGAATTAAGAAGTCCTAGAGTCATCGCATGTAACTATGTGCATTTGAAAATAAATGTAATCTATAAAAAGACATTGATAGGCTAATATTTTATTTTGACATGTAAACCATTTATTGACCAGTTGCACATATCATTATAAAACTGTTTTGTCATCCATATCATCTTGTGAGTCATCTAATTGTATCTATGGTCAGTGAAGGAGCCTCCTTAAATACATGTATTTTAACAGTTTAATAGAGAGGATTCACTTTTACCTAGGAGTCCATTTACTTGATACCTCCAATGATTAGAAATTTCTTCTATATAAGTAAGCAATTATACATGAATGAAAAAACAAACAAAAAGAAATGAATGAAATACTCATTAATAGGAACAAACCAAAGAAAAATTTGGACATCTACAAATAACAATATATGTGCAACAAATAATTTCTTAACTAAACTTTTTGTTGTGAGATCATTATAGGTTCACCTGCAGTGGTATGAAATGATAAAGGGATCCTTTATACTTGTTACTAAGTTTGTTCCTGTGGTAACATCTTACAAAACTATACTATGATATCACACACGGGATATTGGCATTGAGACAGCCGAGATGCCAAACAGTTCCATCATTCTTTTTACCCTTGATAGCCACACTCACCCTCCAGTCTACTCTCTACACCTTGAATTTGACCTCTGGCAATCACTGATCAGTTGTCCATTTCTATAATTTTATCATTTTAAGAACATTATTTACATCTTACATATATGAACTTTTAAGTTTGACTTTTAAAAAATTTGCTATGATTCCCTCAGAATCCACCCACATTGTTGGATTTATCAACAGTTCATTGTTTTTATTACTAAGTGATAATCCATAGTATAGAGATACTGTAGTTTATTTAACCATCCATCTTTAAAAGGATTTCTGTTTGTTTCTCATTTTTGGCTATGACAAAATACAATTGCAATGGATATTTATCTGAATGTTTTTATTTGAACTTAACATTTTAATTTTTCTGGGACAAATGCTAGAGTGTGTGATGGCTCGACTGTATGGCAGTTTCATATTTAGTTGTATAAGAAAGTGCCAAAATGTTTCCTAGAGTGGCTGTATGATTTAAATTCCAGCCGTCTGTATATGAGTGATTTAGTTTGTTCTTGTCCTTTGTTCTTATCATTGGTTGTTGGCACTGTTCTATTTTAGCCATTCTGATAGTTGAGTATTGATAAATCTTGTGTTTTTATTTTGTGTTTCCGTAATGGCTAATGGAATTGAACATTTTTTCATGTGCTTCTTTATTACATGTATGTCATCTGATGGAATCATCTGGTCATGCCTTTACACATTTCTAATTGGATTTTTATTGAGTTTTGAGAGTTCTTTATATATTTAGATATGAGTCCTTTATAAGATATGTCATTTTTAAATATTCTTAGTACCTCTAAGAACAGTTTTGATTTAATGAGGTTCACTTGATCGGTTTCTCCCTTTAGAGGCCTTACTTTTTCTATCAGATTGAAGAATTCTTTGTGTATACCTAGGTACCAAAGGTTTTATGTTTTTTTCCTGGAAGTGTCCTAGTTTTACCTTTTATAGTTCGATTTGGTATTGGAGAGAAAGCATTCAGTCTTTCATAGATACGTGTGATATTAGCTGTAGGGTTTTTTTTTTTTGTAGATGATCCTTATCAAGTTTAGAAAGTTTCTCTTTTTCCTAGTTTGCTGAGAATTTTTAAAATCATGATTGGGTGTTAGATTTTGTCAAATTTTTTTAGTGTCAGTTTTTTAGTGTCAACTGATGTGATTTTTCTTCTTTAGCCTATTGATAAAATGGATTACATTGATTGATTTTCAGATGTTGAATAATTTGTGCATACTGAAATAATAAAACTCATTTTACTGGGATGTATTATTCTTTTATATATTGTTAGATCCCTTTTGCTAATAATTTGTTGAAGAATTTTGCATCTAACTTCATGAAATTTGTTAGTCTATAGTTTTCATTTTTTTATGTTGTTTTTCCCTAGCTTTGGAAGTAGGATAATACATGTAATGGCCTCATAAAATGAGGTGGGAAATGTTCCCTTTTTAATTTCTTTTCTTTAAATAGTTGATAGAATTTTCCAACAAAATCATTTGAGGGTGGAGATTTCTTTTTCAGGAGCATTTAAATTACATAGTCCATTTCCTTAGTGGTTAAGGACAGCATAGGTTATGTGTTCCTGTTTGGCTGAACACTTTTTTTTTTTTTAGTAACAACTACTTTTTGTGTTGGGACTCCATGTTCTAGGATGCTCCACATTGTATATTCATTGTAGACTTGGTTTAGTCTAAGTCATTGTGAGCTTTAGTGGGGTTACTAGTAACTTGGTTCACTTAAAAAAATCAGTTTCATTCAGACTAGCTTACAGAAAGGAAATTTCAGTGTTCTGGTTTTATGATATCCTAATCATGACTGTATATAGGGGCATGGCTAGAGATGAGTAAAAAAGATGGTGAACAAAATATTTTTTAAAAACTCAGATGATTCTGAGTTCCTCTCCTATCTAACTTGAGGACTAATAGTTAAGTAGGTATTAACACTATTGTCGGAATTGGGCTAGCACATTAAAGCAGTGGTTCTCTACCTTCCTAATGCCATGAGCCTTTAATACAATTCCTCATATTGTGGTGACCCCCAGCCATAAAATTATTTTTGTTGCTACTTCATAACTGTACTTTTGTTACTGTTATGAATTGTAATGTAAATACCTAATATGCAGGATGTATTTAAGTGACCCCATGAAAGGGTCATTCAACCCCTAAAGGGGTGGCAGCCTACAGGTTGAGAACCGCTGTCTTAAAGCATATATAAATCCCTTTCAGACAAAAATGCCACTTTAATTGCCATTTTGTTGTAATAATTCATTGTCTAGTAAAAATAAAAAAATCTCTGAAATCCTGTAATGTCATATATAGATGGTGCTAACAAAATGTATGCATGTGTTAAAAAAGAAAAAAACTGTATTAAATTTGTAATACTCAAGTCCCCTTTGACTTCTACAGAGGTGCTCAATGTGACTTACATTTACCTTTTTTTTAAATCAATATAGATTACTATGATTTTAATAGTTTTTCCTTTCTTAAAATATGCATGCATTTTTTTTGGCATCCTCTGTATGTTAGGCAAATTAATTGTTCCTTAAAATTGAATATGTTGATTTCCTATAATCACCAGTATTGTGAAGAAATATTTTTAATTGGTCATTTATTTTATTTTGTAACTGTGATCTAGAATGATTTTATTATCTAAATATTTATTTCACAGTTGCATAAAGTTCTATGTACAGTGGTAACATAAACCATAACATACTGTTAAATGGTGTCTCCTTTGGGTAGTGTTTACTTCACTCATTATGGTGTTATATGAGTTGTTAGTAAATATAGAACCTTAATATTTTAATGGCACTTAGTTTCTGACAACCTTTACTTCTTTTCTTTGTGTTTTTCACAGCCTATTTTGTAAGAAATTTTTACATTTTAGAAGAATTTTAGATTTATAAGAGAAAAGGAATGAAATTATTAAGAAAAAATTAAAGGATTAATATGGGGGGGGTGTTAAGAGAGAAAGAACAGGTGAAAGTTGAAAAGCAAATTAAAAGTATGGAGCAGATTCCTGGGCCTCACGCCTACTGTTATGATGCAATTGTTTTGGACTGGGGCCAAGGAATTGATATTAAAGAAATGTGATCTCCTTAATTCTAGCGTACAAACTAATAAAAAGAAAGAGAAGGTAAGAAGCAGGTTCATGGCTCATAACTTTGGTTTATTTTTCATTGAGGAGCAATGGAAATAAACTTAACTAATTAGATAACTAGGTAGCATTGAATACCCTTTTTGAAACTAGAATACCAGCTTCTTAGTGAAGAATCTATAGAACTGAGTGGTTTTCTTGTTTAGTACAAGGAGAAAGAACCAACCTCCTTTGGGATTTTCATGTTTGCTTTATGGTATGAAGTAGCAAAGGAGCCGGAAGTGCTAACGAAAGGGGTCCCTGAATAGCCGACAGACTAGTTGTGACACTACCTACCATTGAGCTAGATGTTTGCAAGGTGAAGAACAGGTTTTGTGTAGAAGCAGGATGGAGTTGAATATTAGGAAGTTCTCATAACTGGTTTATTTAATTGCTGAAGCATGATGTAGACGATTTTTAATGGCCCAGAGAAGCTTGAGGTACTAGGAGACTGTGTTAATGTCTAGATTATAAATTTGTATATTGGGATTATTCAGGATGATGTTGCCACTAGAAAGGAAAAGCTTGACATTCAGTTCCTCTAGAAAGAGGAATGCCTTGGAGTTTATTAGGTGAAGATGATAAATTTATGTTGTAGGATAATATAAATTTCAGTGGAAGATTTGTTGAATAATTGTGAATGAACGGTGGTCTTGAGTTCTCCTACTGAGCAGTGGTCCTGAGGTCTAGTGTTAAGCTAAGAGAGCGTTAACTGTGGTCCAGATGAGAGTGGCAGAGTGGACCACAGAGATGGCAAGGGGATAAGTAAGATGAAAAAGTAAACAAGAATTTCAAGAAAAACTTTTCAAGAAAAATTACCCAAATTATATTTCTGAATAATAGAGTAAACCTCAAGGGGAGTCATAGAACGTTTAGAAAGGCACCCTGTTATCGGCAGCCATTTTTTTTCCCATGTGAATTAATTCTCCTGGATCTTCCTATATGAGTGTACTTTTGGACCATTCTGTAATTACTGCTGTAATCTTTTACAATTTTATAGAATCTCTGAAATGTTTATAGCTATAATTTAAAAAATCTTAGTGCTTTCCTTTGTGAAACTGTTCTGCTTTTTTTCTTTTCTTCAAGGAAAAGTGAAATTTTCTTCTTGAGTTAACTCACGCTCAGATCCTCCAGTTGCTTTTCCTTGCTGAAAGACTGGTGAAGGA